GTCACCCTTCCTGTTTGACATTGCGATCGAACCGCTGGCAATTGCTATCAGATCTGATGAGAGGATTAAAGGTATATCCAGGGGTGAGGTAACTCATAAAACTCTGCTTTATGCTGATGATCTCCTTTTGCAGATATCAGACCCAATTGGGAGTATGCCCCACCTTTTCCGCTGGCTGCGGGAGTTCAGCAACATATCGGGGTATAAGGTTAATTTATCAAAATCTTTACTGTTTCCATTGAACAATCTGGCAAAACAGACCACTTATGACGATTTGCCTTTTAAAATTGAAAATGACAAATTCACATATTTGGGACTGGAAATAGCTGGCTCGATTAAGACTATTTTCCAGTATAACTACAGGTCTATTCTGGACAGTACTAAATCTGATCTGGGTAGGTGGTCAAAACTTCCACTTTCGCTGGCAGGACGGATAAATGTGGTGAAGATGACTGTAATGCCCAGGTTTCTTTATCTATTCCAAATGATCCCCATCTTTCTCCCCAAATCCTATTTTGCCCAGCTGGATCGCTTTGTCTCTTTGTTCATATGGAACAAAAAACCTGCACGCATAAGGAGAGCGAGCCTGGAGAGAGCTAAAGCTGATGGTGGTTTGGGCTTACCTAATTTCTTATTCTATTATTGGGCTGCTAACATTGTCAAGCTGACATATTGGATAACCATGTTTGCGGATGGGGAGGGTCCAGTCTGGGCAGATATGGAACTGAGAGCTACACTCCCAATCTCTCCGATTTCGATCTTAACTGCCCCTCTCCCACTGAATGTCAAAGCATCTGGGCTGAACTCCAATTTGGTGGTTCAAAATTCAATTAAGATCTGGGGTCAATTCAGGAAACATTTTAACTTGACAAATACTTGTAGCTTTTCTCCGATAATGTTCAACCATCTTTTTACACCATCTCAAATAGATCATTCATTTGCAGTCTGGCACAGAAACGGTCTGGTTTTCTTTCAAGATCTCTTCACTGAGGATGGCTTTGTCTCATTTAAATATTTGTGTGAAGACCATAACTTACCAAAGTCTCACTACTTCAGATACCTTCAGGCTCGGAGTTTTGCCTCTAAATTTCTCCCAGGGTACCCGTCTCTGCCCTCTAAGGACCTACTGTATCTAGTTCTTAATGTGAGTCAGCCCACTAAAAGAGCAATATCGAAGATTTATGCATTGATTCTTGAAAGCTGCCCTCATACATGGGACAAACCTAAGGCGGCGTGGGAAGGGGAGGTTGGAGAACTCATGTCAGAAGACATCTGGAAGAAAGCCATACAGCGTATACATACGTCTTCTCTCTGTATTAGACATGGCCTGATTCAATTTAAGGTCGTCCACAGGCTCCACTATTCTAATGACAGACTGTCTAAACTGTACCCTGATGTTGCACCGAATTGTCCTAGATGTGATTACTCTCCTGTTTCTTTGGGGCACATGTTTTGGTCATGTCCCTCCCTGTATGGTTTCTGGACATCAATTTTTCAATCACTGTCAGCTATATCGGGTGAAACACTGCGGCCTGACTCTTTGATAGCTATCTTCGGTGTACCTCGGGAAGAGCTGAGACTCTCTCCCCTCCACAAAAACGCAATAGCCTTTGCCTCGTTGCATGCCCGCCGTCTGATACTGCTGAGCTGGAAGGCGTCGAACCCTCCTTCCTACGTCCATTGGATTAGAGAGGTGATGTTGGGATTAGCTCTGGAAAAAATTAGGTATACCGTGCGCGGCTTGGAGAGTAAATATGACAAAACCTGGTCACGGTTCATAACTCATGTCAAGAGTCTGTCTTTTGCCTGATTTATTGTTCTTTACTTGTTGGTAATTTATGCTCTTGCTCTCTTCTCGGACTGCTGTCCATAGTCTCCTCAATGCCCGTACTTTGACTGTTGGGATTTCTTTATTCCCTTTTTCTTCTTTGTTTCTTCTCTCATGTGCCGGGGTCCGGCTGTTGGTGCTATAATGACTGTCACAGATTGGTTTGAGTGTTTCTCCCCTTTTTTTCTTTTTTCTTTTTTTTTTTTTGTGTTGTGTGTATTGTGCTTCCTGGTTGTGGGGATGCCACCTGGATGGGGGTGGGGGGTAGGGTTCGCAACTTTTGTAAGAAATTCTGGACTGTTTTGTTGGAAAACTATAAATAAAGTTGTAAAAAAAAAAAAAAAAAAAAAAAAGATCTACAAAGGAGTCCCAGTTAGACCTATTATTATCAGTATGAAATCAGCCACCTACAGAATTTACAAGCACCTAAGCGGCAGTAGCACCTAGCTACTGGATGGCATCAGGTAGAGCGGGTAACCTACTAATCGGAAGGCTGGTAGTTTGATCCCTGGCTCCTCCAGTCTGCATGTCAAGTATGCAAGTTATGCATCCATCAGAGTGTGAATGTGTGTGAATGTAGTTAGAAAGCACTCAGTTTAGAGAAAGTGCTTGTGAGAATGGGTGTGATTGGGTGAATGTGGCATATTGTGAGTACTCCAGGAGAGTAGAAAAGTGCTACAGTGGCTTGCAAAAGTATTCGGCCCCCTTGAACTTTTCCACATTTTGTCACATTACAGCAACAAACATGAATCAATTTTATTGGAATTCCACGTGAAAGACCAACACAAAGTGGTGCACACGTGAGAAGTGGAACGAAAATCATACATGATTCCAAATATTTTTTACAAATAAATAACTGAAAAGTGGGGAGTGCATAATTATTCGGCCCCCGGAGTCAATACTTTGTAGAACCACCTTTTGCTGCAATTACAGCTGCCAGTCTTTTAGGGTCTGTCTCTACCAGCTTTGCACATCTAGAGACTGAAATCTTTGCCCATTCTTCTTTGCAAAACAGCTCCAGCTCAGTCAGATTAGATGGACAGCGTTTGTGAACAGCAGTTTTCAGATCTTGCCACAGATTCTCGATTGGACTTAGATCTGGACTTTGACTGGGCCATTCTAACACATGGATATGTTTTCTTTTAAACCATAATATTCCCTTTCCCAGGAGGAAAGATCAATAATGGGTCAACAGCCACCTTTAAAGGGAACAACCCCTAAAAGGGTTTAAATACCTGGGACTTTACATATTTTGGTTTTAGAACTAAAGAAGGCATTTGGATGAAAACTGAAACATCTTAAGAAAATTAAAAATGGCCAGTAGCCTTCTTTTTAGACAAGGTGTTAGAAGCATTCAGAGATTTTAATCCATATTAACATGATGGCATCACACAGTTGTTGAAGATTTATAGACTACACATTGGAATATCCCATCCCATTTCAGCACATCTGAAAGGTGCTCTATTGGATTGACATGCGATGCTGGAGGCCATTTGAGTCCAGTGAACACACTGTCACAAAGAAACTAGTTTGACATGAGCTGGGTTTTATGACATGGAGAGTTATCATGCTGGTAGCAGGTGCTACCAGCTCATGCTACTAGGATACAGTACACTGTGGTCCTAAAGGGATGGACAAGGTCAGCAATAATACTCAGGTAGGCTGTCAGGTAGTGCCCAAAATGTGCCAGGAAGCGATCACCAGCAGCAGCCTGAACCACTGATGCAAGGCAAGAGTGAATCATGCTTTCATGTTGTTTGGGCCAAATTCTGATCAAAGGAGAATAATCACTCATCATACCAGGGAACATTTTCCAATCTCACTTTGAACATCAGCAGGTCTTTTTGACTAAGTCTATAATCTTAACTCAACTGAGTTATGGCATAGTCAGAAGTAATTTGTGCTTGTATCTGTCACATTTTCACACAAATTGCATTTTCAAATGCTTATACTATAGAGCTTGTTCTACACTCAAATCATTTGTTATTTTCTGGAAGAAAATTTGATTAGATATTTGTGCTAGATATGTGTGCATTTTAACAGGTATACCTAAACAACCAATGAGTGTGTATGGCAACTGTAGTTACTTTTTAAAATAATTTAATATCAAAAAGAAAAGACTTAAATAGTCCAGTTCAATTAAGGCAGGGGTGTCAAACTCAAATACACAGTGGGCCAAAATTCAAAACTGGAACAAAGTCGCGGGCTAACGTTAATATTTATTGAAATATTCCTCCAGATATAAGAATGAATCTTTTCTTATGGACTCAAACACATTTTGCTGAAAAACTGAATATAGAACAAGCAAAGCTTAATACTAAACAATATAAATATTAGCTGTATAATACCAGTAGGCCAGCTCCAATAGTAATTTGGTATGGCTTCGCGGGCCAAATGTAATTAGGCTGCGGGCCAAATTTGGCCCGCGGGCCAGAGTTTGACACCTATACACCTATGAATTAAGGTAAGGCACTCGCCCACTTAGAATGGAATTTTACAAACCCATAGAAATTATCCAAGCTATATAAATATGCTATCGTTGTGCAGCTCAACATGCACATGTTTATAAAACATTCAGAGATAAAATGTGCAATTCTTTTTTAGTGTCTAAAATAACAATTTGGCCGATAGCCAATTTTGTTGCTTTTTTTTTTCCCATGTTCCCCTTTTTGTGTCCAGAAAACATATCTCTTTATTATTAAAAACTGATTATTTAAAAATCTCTGTTCTTTAATGCAAAAGTAATATGGCATACTAGACAAATATCATTCATTCAGTAAATGGCATCTTAATTGCTATCATCAGGTCAACATCTGATAAAAGGTGAATCCTCACTGTTCTACCCCTGAAAAAGTAAAATGGCCAAATGGCAGATTAATGGGTTTAAAATGGTAGTGTAGAAAGAAATGGACATAATCACAGTGGCTGAGACGAGCGTTTTCTAGCATATGCATGACTTTTACTTAATAAATGATCTGCACAATTTTTATTTTGCCATTGCAACCTAACACAATTCTCTGATTTCCTCTTTCACTATTTTCTGCTAGTATGGTAGTTTCACTGTATTTATATAGGTTTGAAATATAAAATATTTAACAGATGATTACCTAATGCTTAATAGTGTGCACTTATTATAAAGTGTTACCAATATTTCTTCTTTGTTGTTATACAGCCTACACGTAGTGACCGCGGCTGGCTGGTGATGCCCTTTGGTAAGAACCCCTGGTGGTGGTGTGTGGCCAGTTTCGTTCCTGCTCTTCTGGTCACCATCCTCATCTTCATGGACCAGCAGATTAGTGCTGTCATTGTCAACCGCAAGGAAAACAAATTAAAGGTCTGCAAACACCGAAGATGAAATGGTCACAGAACAGATAAATATATAGAGTATATTAAAAAGTATTCTGCCTAAATGTTAACAGTTATACAGGGAGTGCAGAATTATTAGGCAAGTTGTATTTTTGAGGAATAATTTTATTATTGAACAACAACCATGTTCTCAATGAACCCAAAAAACTCATTAATATCAAAGCTGAATGTTTTTGGAAGTAGTTTTTAGTTTGTTGTTAGTTTTAGCTATTTTAGGGGGATATCTGTGTGTGCAGGTGACTATTACTGTGCATAATTATTAGGCAACTTAACAAAAAACAAATATATACCCATTTCAATTATTTATTTTCACCAGTGAAACCAATATAACATCTCCACATTCACAAATATACGTTTCTGACATTCAAAAACAAAACAAAAACAAATCAGCGACCAATATAGCCACCTTTCTTTGCAAGGACACTCAAAAGCCTGCCATCCATGGATTCTGTCAGTGTTTTGATCTGTTCACCATCAACATTGCGTGCAGCAGCAACCACAGCCTCCCAGACACTGTTCAGAGAGGTGTACTGTTTTCCCTCCTTGTAAATCTCACATTTGATGATGGACCACAGGTTCTCAATGGGGTTCAGATCAGGTGAACAAGGTGGCCATGTCATTAGTTTTTCTTCTTTTATACCCTTTCTTGCCAGCCACGCTGTGGAGTACTTGGACGCGTGTGATGGAGCATTGTCCTGCATGAAAATCATGTTTTTCTTGAGGGATGCAGACTTCTTCCTGTACCACTGCTTGAAGAAGGTGTCTTCCAGAAACTGGCAGTAGGACTGGGAGTTGAGCTTGACTCCATCCTCAACCCGAAAAGGCCCCACAAGCTCATCTTTGATGATACCAGCCCAGACCAGTACTCCACCTCCACCTGAGTCGGACTGGAGCTCTCTGCCCTTTACCAATCCAGCCACGGGCCCATCCATCTGGCCCATCAAGACTCACTCTCATTTCGTCAGTCCATAAAACCTTAGAAAAATCAGTCTTGAGATATTTCTTGGCCCAGTCTTGACGTTTCAGCTTGTGTGTCTTGTTCAGTGGTGGTCGTCTTTCAGCCTTTCTTACCTTGGCCATGTCTCTGAGTATTGCACACCTTGTGCTTTTGGGCACTCCAGTGATGTTGCAGCTCTGAAATATGGCCAAACTGGTGGCAAGTGGCATCTTGGCAGCTGCACGCTTGACTTTTCTCAGTTCATGGGCAGTTATTTTGCACCTTGGTTTTTCCACACGCTTCTTGCGACCCTGTTGACTATTTTGAATGAAACGCTTGATTGTTTGATGATCACGCTTCAGAAGCTTTGCAATTTTGAGACTGCTGCATCCCTCTACAAGATATCTCACTATTTTTGACTTTTCTGAGCCTGTCAAGTCCTTCTTTTGACCCATTTTGCCAAAGGAAAGGACGTTGCCTAATAATTATGCACACTTGATATAGGGTGTTGATGTCATTAGACCACACCCCTTCTCATTACAGAGATGCACATCACCTAATATGCTTAATTGATAGTAGGCTTTCGAGCCTATACAGCTTGGAGTAAGACAACATGCATGAAGAGGATGATGTGGACAAAATACTCATTTGCCTAATAATTCTGCACTCCCTGTAGTTATAGATATTATCTGGGAAAGGTAATGAGAAGAAAAAATACCATGTTTACAACTTGAACAATTGTAGCTTGAATTGTAACAGTACTGCACTACTGCTTCAATACATTACTATACTAAAGCAATGAAAGTGCCATGATGCTTTGTGATACTCAAATTTAAAGCAAATGTATTTTTTGTGTTTTTGGTAATTTTTGAACTGTTTACACAGTTCAGGATTACATGGGGAGTGGATCTTCTGGGTAATTTCCCGTTATTGCACCCAATTTCAGAAAAGCTGTGGCTACCACTTGGACCTGTTCTGGGTAGGTGTGCTGATGGCTGTGTGTTCTTTCATGGGCATGCCATGGTATGTAGCAGCCACTGTCATCTCCATTGCTCATATCGACTCACTGAAGATGGAGAGTGAATCTAGTGCCCCTGGAGAGCAACCACAGTTCCTTGGAGTCAGGTGGGACCCATCATAGCTAACCATCATACCATCATCAGCTTGGTGTTCTGAACCGTTGCATGCTCATAGGCTGGTAATATATCAATTGGGGGACAAAGTGGGGGGAATAAATTCTATAAAACGTATTTTTGGAACCAGAGGAGTGTCCCCTGCTGGCGTAAGGAAGGCTTAAGATGGTGAAAAGTGAAAATGCTTACTTCACTTTTGAGATCTTAAAGATAGACTGCATAGAAAAGAGAGTCCTTATTTCAGATTAAGGTCTGTTTGTTTTCTGATTGCCTAAATCATCTTTTTGTGTGGACCTAGAATAAAGTTTTATGCTATGCTTTTGATTCTTCACTTCCAGAGAGCAGAGGTTGACAGGCATTTTGGTGTTTGTCCTAACAGGACTCTCAGTCTTTCTTGCCCCTATACTTCAGGTAAGTTCGTAGATGAGACTGATGTGGTGTCAGTAGAAAGTTTATATTGGTTTTATTTTAAAATGTATGTTCTGTTCAATTCAGTACATCCCCATGCCTGTCCTTTATGGAGTCTTCCTCTACATGGGAGTGGCTTCACTGAGTGGCATCCAGGTATACTACAAAAAAATACATATATATATATTTTTTTCTCCATATTTTTCTTCATGGAAACTATAATCTATATGCCAATATATATGAAAAGAAAATGGTGCATAGATGAAAAATCAGACACAAGCAGAAAACAGGAATAACAAAAATCCAGTCATTTTCAGTGTAAACATATTCATTTTCAAACACCATGTGTTTTTTTCTCAGAGGGCCAGATTGTACAAGCTTAAGGAAATGAATGAGTTTATAATAACATATAATATAATATAATTGACAGATCAATTAAAGCACTTAAACTCAATTCAATTTTATTTATATAGCACCAAATCACAACAAGAGTTGCTTCAAGGTTCTTTATATTATAAGGTAAAGACCCTACAATATTAGAGAGAAAACAGAAAGAATGGATAGGATTGGATCCATCAAGACTAAGTATCTGGTTATACAGTATGTTTCTAAGATTTTTAGGGCTGAGTAAAATTACCTCAGTTTTATCTGAATTTTGAAGTAAAAAATTAGATCATCATCAATGAGTCTTTATATTTTTAAGATATTTCTGCAGGTTAACCATTTGGTGTGTTTCATCTGGCTTTATGTATAGACAATGCTATGGTATCATCTGTGTAGCAGTGAAATTGTATGTTATGCCTTCTAATGATACTGCCTAGGGGAAGCATATATAATGTGCACATGATATGCAGTCCTTGCACTGAACCCTGTGGAACATATGGCATAGAAATAGAATATTTAACAGTATTCTCTGAAATTCCTCATTTCTCTTATCACTTCCTAATAACATTTAAATTTACTCTATTAGTTCTCTGTTCTCTATTAATCAGCTATGTGCGACAGGCCTTCAAAGACGGCAGTAATTAAACCGTTACTTGAAAAGCCATTATCACTTGACACAGATGTCTAAGCTAATTAAAGGTCAATCTCAAATCTCTGAAAAAATCTTCAACTGCAGAGTAATGGTTTATTTAAAGAGTTTCAGTCAAGTTTAGGAGTTCATCAAATTAAATTAACAGTGTTAGTGAAGGTTAGAAGTGATCTGATGGCCTTTGATGGTGGAATCATCTCTACTTGTCCTGCCACACCTCAGCACAGTGTTCGATGCAGTTGACCTTAATATTTTATTAAAGCAATTAGAGCATGTTGTAGGCATTAAAGATAGCGGTTTGAATCATATCAAATTAGAATCTGCAAATTGAAATGTAATAGATTCCAATGTGTTCATGTAAATGGAGAGTCCTCTTTACACACTGAGGTTAATTGTGGAGTTCCACAGGGTTCCTTGCTAGGACCAATTCTGTTTACATTATACAAGTTTAACTTAGGCAGCAACATTAGAAGATATAGGAATGGAATATATGGAATAATTGGAATTTTTCATTTCTGGTAATTTCCTGGATGACACAATGTTCTGCTTCATCTCTAAAACACTAAATAAAAGAATACCTTAAAATATTTTCTCGATTTCTTTGTTCCAGTTCTGGGAGCGCATCAAGCTGTATCTAATGCCGCCCAAACACCAGCCAGACTTCTCCTTCCTGCGTCATGTCCCTATGAGACGCGTCCACCTTTTCACCCTAGTCCAGATTGTGTGTCTGGCTGTTCTCTGGATCCTTAAGTCTACATTTCTGGCCATCATCTTCCCAGTAATGGTGAGGGTGTTCTGTGTTCTTCTGTTTAGGTAAATGAACTGATTCTTACATAGCATCATTCTATGCTCCCAGAACACTCAAAGCACTGTATACAACTCCTCATTCACCCATTCACACAAGCACTTCTTCTATGCTTACATGCTTTCCATCTACTAATCACGCACATTCATACTCTGATGGAATCGTCAAAGAGCAACTTGGGGTTTGTATCTTGTCCGAGGATATGTGGGATTCAGACTGGAACAGCCACGGATGGAACCATCAGCCTTCCGATCAGTAGATGATCTGCTATACTTACTGAGCTACAGGAACAATTTATCAAACTAAACTACCAAGAAGGGTCATTGTATAGCTATTAAACTAAAAATTATTCCGGCTAAATGTAAAACTACACGGATTAAACTGTCTGGCACGTCGTCTGACGTGAACGAAAAAATATGTCAAAACAGATGCTTTTCTATCATCATTTACTCAAAAAGCAGAAAGCAGGAATTACAGTTGTACTGAAAAAAGGTTACATTCCGGTTATGATGCAGCTAATAACTTTAGCTTGATTTAAATAATATTCAATGACCTTTAAGAATGTCCTATTGACTTATTTTATTGGTCCTGTTTGGAACCTTTTGTAAATTTCCATGTTTTACCCTCCAAAATAACTAAAGTTATCAACAGGTTACAAAGAAGCAAAAGCTTTGACATTTTCCTATAAAGTATCTATGCAGAAGTGAGAAAAGTGCATGCTTTTGTCACATAAGTACAAATAAAGCTTTATGAACACTCATTAGTCACCTTTTTTCACTCACTACATGTTTTATTCACCACCCTCCATCTTTAGCTAGACTGGTTGCCATAGTGTTTCTTTTTGTACTGGCTTCCTCCCCTCACCCCTGGAAATGTGACAAGCATATTTGTTATGTGCTTGTTCAAACAGTATCACACATTCAAAAACATTAAAATGCTGCTTCTAGTGATGAAACTTTTTGTTAAATTTTGAAGAGGACAGCTAGAAAAACTGCCTTATTTTCTACTCTAAAGCTTTGTAGTTTTTTCTTTTCATTTCTTTTTTCAGATTTTCTGTCTACTCTGATATGGCAAAGAGTAGACAGGAAACCTGACAGAGATATTGATTTGATTTTAAAACACACATTTATTCACTTAATAGTGATCCATATAAACATTCAGCTCAAATCGACACATTCCTAAATAAAAGTTCAGAATTATTTAATGTAAACAGACTACCTTTATAGTCCCAAAAATTTTGAAAAACCTCCAGCTCATCCATTTTGAAATAATACTTATATTCCAACATCACTCTTGAAAAGCTGCACACAGTCAGAATTTCTGTTAAGTCTAATTGTTGAATGTTGCCATTGTGTTTCTTAAATTTGTAAAGTCGTAGTTTAAGCAGTAGGATCAAAGCCATTCCTTTGATCCTGACCACCTCTCCAACCACTCTGTGCTGGGGGAGGTTTTATTGTAGATACATCCTATCTGAAAGATCTGTTTCTTTTGATGTAAGCTTCCTGGGTTTACGACCCTTTGGTCATCAGGAGGTCTGACACACACACACACACACACACGCGCACACTCTTACAGAAGTTAGGACCAAGGGGGCGTGGCTTTGTTCTGACGTGTTTTGTGTGAACTGTCCCTCAATAAAAGGTAGCAGGAGGAGGTCAGATCTGGGGGTCATTTTCATGGTGGACACAGACGAGGCCTCCCTTGCGCAAATAATCGATCGATCGACTGTCTTGTTTTCTTCATGATGAATAAGTCTCTAGAATTAGCGGGGCTTGTGGAAACACAGACCCAACAATTTCGTCCATTATCAATCTAATATTTTCTACTCAAGTAAATTGCCAAATTGTATTGACCCTGGAAAAAATTAATCAGTCGTCCTTTTTTTCTTCTTTCTTTTGTCATATGAAAGCCTGAAGATAAAACACTGTTTTGTAAAATATTCTCCAAATGATTCCCAAATACAACTAAGCACTGAAAATAAATCCATTAAACATTGTACAAAACAATGAAAAATGTAATGTTGCTTGTACAAGTTGGTTTTTGTCACATCAAAACCAACTTTAAAAGGATCTCTCCAAGGCGTATCATTTTTACTTGTTAACTTGCTTTATTAAGAAATGTTCTAGAGCAGACTCGAACCCAGGCCCCTCTATTTCAGAAAGTCTGCTACTGAGCCACTGGGCCTCATTCACTGATATGGTAATAATAATTGTATTAGTAGTAGTACAACTCTCTTCAATTATGTATTATTTATATAGCGGCGATTTACAACAATGACAAGATAATGTTAATCTACCTGGTTTTGTAGATTCTCGGTCTCATGGTTGTACGGAAGCTGCTGGATTTGATGTTCTCGCAACATGATTTGGCCTGGCTGGATGATATCCTGCCAGACAAAGACAAGAAGAAGAAGGAAGATGAGAAGAAGAAGAAGAAAGACAAGAAAGCACCAGAGCCTGAGAGTGATGAGGAGGTGAGGAAATGCACTATTTGTCAAGTGTGGATCTGTCTTTCTTAGTATTAACTGTGTATTTAAGTGTGTGTCACTCCATTGCTGTGGTTGTGTCGATCCTGGGTTTATTTTCTCTAACTAATACTGTATGTTTCTCCTCTCCCACAGTGTTGCTGAAAGGCACTTCATTCCCTCTTACTACAGTCTTCCTGTCTGTCCATCATCTTTTCAGTACATCTTTCACCTCTCCCACTTTGTTCCAACCTTTAGAAACAGCGTGTGTGCTTATGTGTACCCTTTGTATTTATGCTTCATCCAAGTCTTTGTCCATACTAAAAGGGTTGCTTGACAGCTGTGTAGAAGCACAAGTGATGCCCACTGATGGCTTTAAAGGATAAGCTTGGTGTTATTGATCAAATTTTTATTAGTAATTATAGCTTGGTCACTATCAGCAGTATTAACTTTGCCCAGTTCACTGAAACACTGACATTCTTGTCTCATAAGCCTCTGCTATTCACGCGTGGGGGAGATGTTTTCCTGAATTGTGCAACACAGTTAATAAACTACACTCTTCAGTTCAGTCAGAAACCCAGCACAGACCAAAGTGATCATCCATGAAAATAGACATGAAAGGAAGTGGAGGAGCAGGAGTGGATGTGGGTTGCAAAGCAGCTTGTTGCGGCTGAAGGAACTGAAATGGCCCCATCTGAGATTTGAAAATCTGTGGAAGGGTATATGCTCAACCATCAGCTGATGTGGGCTGGAGTTGAGATCCAATTATGGCCGAGTTAGAATACAAATAGAATAGAAATATCCTTTATTGTCGCTCATTGGGGAAATTCAGGTGTTCAGCAGCAAAGTAACAGGCAGATGGAGCATGCAGATTCAAAAAGAATTTACAACATGAAAACATGAATTTAAAAAATGTAATCTCTAGCGATGAGAGCCGTTCCTTCTTCTGAATGTTGGAACACTGTGCCTCTGTAAGTTCACCATATATATATGCATATATATACATATACATATATATTTCTCATCAGTGTGTCCTGGTTTTCCAACACCTAACACCTTGGCGCCTCTGCTGGAATCTCCAACAATTAACTTATGGAATCCAACCTTTCGAACTACTCATCTTGCAGAGTGCTGGAGACTGACCCAGATTGCCTCCAGGCATCCCAATTAAGTGCCCACTCCCCACCTCTCTCTCTCTCCCACTCTCTCTCTCTTAATATCTAGTCAACTAAGTGCATGTTTACATGAGATTCACTGATCTTCAACCCCACCTTATTCCCTCTTTCTATTTCTCTCTTTTAACATGGAAAATTTCATTACATTTGAACATTCAGTCACATGTGAATAGGCTTCAGTTAAGATTTCATTAGCACATTCACTTTAGCATAGTCCCTTTTAATTCAAATATGTTTCTCTTTAAAACTCTGTGTTTGTCAGTCACAGTTTACTCTATAGAATAAATACAATCCCCTTTCTCACTAAATAGAACACTTTATAAGTCAGGCATTAAGAGTGTTGTGTCTTGTGTGTGCTCTCATTTACTCACACACGGACTCACTCTCATATTTCTCAAGGCCATTTCTATACAGGCTTTCAGCTAAGCCCCAAGTTGCGCCTGTCTCTAAACTCATTATTTTCCTTTTTTTTTTTTTTTTTAACTTTCTATTCCTATTAATCATCTTTAGGCAAACTCAATTGTCTTTATATTTACTGATTGTGTTCTGATCATTATTGTGCATAATTAACTATCAGCAAATTCACATACGAATCATAATTCTGTGTTTACCCCTCACAACATTTAAAACTATGTTCTTGATGAAAAATATAATGATGGGTTGATGACATAGTGGTTATCTTCTCAAACTCAAACTTGAATAAAAAAGTTGATAATGGATCATGTCTACACACACAAAATCTAGACACCAGATTCAGTTCAGTAATTAGACCTCTCTCTACTAAGATACTGATCACACTTATTGCTTTGATTAACAATAAAACTGATCTATTTACTAGCAGATAAGGAAAAGTTCTGTTTTAGGAGTTTGGCCATTTTCAACACCGTTTTAACACATAAGGCTGGGTGTCAAATCCTTTTATCCCCGGCTACTACTCCACATTATGTGGATTGTGCGTGCGTGCAAAAGAACCCCCCCCTTGTCCCTGCGGGCAGTCTATCCTTCAAGCTCGGCAATACCTCCTACGACCATATTGAGACTAACCAGCTGATCTGCTCCACAGCAGCAGTGATCAGTGAGGTGCTTGGCTGCAAGATAAACAGCCACAAAGAGCAGTAGAAGGAGACCAAAGGCCATGGAGGGAAGTTAGCTAACTATCAGAGTAGCAGAAAGGTGCCTAAGAAGTACAGCAAGCTCGCCATACCTCAGGCCTTGGAAACTTCAATCCCATAGCACAAGTTACCATCAAGTGCGGGATCTACCAAGGACATACTCTGTCCCCACTGCTGTTCTGCATAGGCCGGAACCCCCTCAGTGAGATCACTGACAAGACTGGCTACAGGTACCAACTACGGAATGGAGCAGTGATCTACATGGAAGACAAAACGCTATATGCCCAGAGTGAATGTGACTTCGATTCACTGATCCACACCACCAGGATGCAAAGAGGTCAGAAAGTCAGTCAGACTGGAGAAGTGAAATCAGATGGTAAAGAAGAGAGGGAAGGTAGTCAGAACTGAGGCGACTGTACTACCAGAAGGCAACATTGCAGACATCGAGGACAGCTACAACTACCTGGGTCTCCCACAGGCAAATTGGAACCACGAAGAGGCTGCTAGGAAAGCTGCAACCACTAAGTACCTGCAGATGGTCAGGCAAGATCTGAGGAGTCAGCTGAATGGTAAGAATAAGATCTGGGCTATCAACACCTACGACCTGATCAGGTACCCTGCTGGGAAGGAGGAGATGGAAGCCACTGACATCAAGACCAGGAAGGTCCTGACCATGCATTGAGGGTTTCAAGTCCAGCATACTGAGATTGTACACTAAGTGGAAGCAAGGAGGCCAGGGACTAGTGAGTATCAGAACCACAGTCCAGGATGAGACAATGAACATTCACAAGTATTTCAGGAAGATGGCCTTGACTAACCATGTTCTCAGTCTGCCGCCTCAGACAGCAGAAACCCAAGAAAGAGGAGCAAGAGAGGAAACCATCATGGAAGGAGAGGCCCCTTCGCAGTGTGTACCACCGACAGATAGAGGAACTGGCTGACATCCAGAAAACCTACCAGTGGTTGGACAAAGCTGGACAAAAGACAGCATAGACACACCGATCATGATAGCACAAGCTCTAAGTACAAGCTCCATAGAGTCTGGGGTCTATCACGCAAGGCAAGACCTTAGGTGCAGGTTCTGTAAAGATGCCCCTGAGACATAACAGCAGGGCGCAAGATGTTTGTAGGCAGGGCATACATGGAAGGCCAGGACCAAGTGGCTGGCATAATATACAGAAACATTTGAGCTGAGTATGGCCTGGAAGGTAGACATGGGAGGTCATTAGGGTGGTCGAGAATGACCAAGTTAAGATACTGTGGGACTTCCAAATACAGACGGACAAAATGGTGATGGCTAACCAACCGGACATAGCAGTGGTGGACAGCAGAGGAAGATGGCCATAGTGATAGACTTAGTGATACCAAATGACAGCAACAGCAGGGAGAAGGAACATGAGGCTGGAGAGGTACCAAGGGCTCAGAGAAGAGCTCAAGAAGATGTGGAGGGTGAAAGTAACAGTGGTCCCAGTGGTAATCGGAGCACTCGGGGGAGTGACCCTCAGGCTAGGTGAGTCGCTCCATCAGATCCCAGGAACAACATCCTGTCCAGAAGATCGCAGTCCCAGGGACATCAAAGATACTGCACAGTACCCTCAAGCTCCTAGGCTGCTCCTAAGCTGCTAGAGTACCTAATCTTGAAGGATATAACATCCAATTTTTCCTGTTTTTTACAGAATATTATGTACTTTAATATCTCACTGCACTCAGAAATGAAAGCTTAATACAAATAAGCAATTGCAATTTAAAAAAGAAATGATGGAATAAATTATCAGACCAAAATGTATTCTAAACTTTGGACTCAGTAGTAGTAGCCACCTTTGCCAGATATAACAGCTGAACACATCTGTGGCATTCTTCCTACAATAGAAATCAAATATTCTTCAGAAAGTTCTACACATATCTGTTGCACAAGTTCCTTTTGCAACCTTCATGTGTGGCACATGAAGGTTGCTTTGCTTTCACTCTACTGTCCAGTTCATCCCAAACCAACTCAATGGGGTTTACGTATGGAGTCTGTGCTGTTCACTCCATGTTTGTGAACTTACAATCTTCTTCTTTTTTTGCGGTTCTGTTCAGTTCTGGCATAGCTTAGACTTGTGTTTTGGGTCATTATCTTGTTGTCCAACTAGGCGTATACCAGAGGGTATTGCATTACGCTGCAGAATGCTGTGGTAGCTGTTTTGGTTCAGGGTGCCCCTCAACAACCCTAGATCCAGTAAAACAGCTCCAGACCATCACACTTCCTCCTCCATGTTTTAAAGTTGAGTTCGCACACTGTGGAACCATCCTTTTGGCTACTTAATGGATGTATCGGAGAGCAGCTTGGGGTTAGTACCTTGCCCAAGGATACTTGGCATGCAGACTGGAGCAGCCAGGTCCCAGCCTGATGACAGTCTTGGGTGGAGAGTCCCTCATTCAGGCACAGGTGGAGGGGGGTAAACTGATGTTAATCAGGTTGTCAACCAGGATTCCAAGAATAATAACGGTAGTAACCACTGAACTGTATTCTATCAACAGAATTCTGACATAGTTTCCTGGTTGCTCTAGGTGGCAGATTTCTGTGTGTCGAGGGCTGTGGCAATGGCGTTCTCTGTCGATCTGTTTGTGCTGTAGGCAAACTGATGACAGTCTAGGTTTTGTGGGAGGGAGGCCTTTATTTGTTGCAGGATCAGCCTCTCGAAGCATTTAGTGACTGCAGACATTAAGGTGATAGGTCTGAGACACTTTAAGGTAGATGACTTGTTAACAGGAGTGATGGTTGCTGCTTGCTGCTGTATGCTGGTGTACCTGGGTTTTAAGGTCTCTAATAAAAACATCAAGTCTTATCCTTTAAGATTCTAATTTCTCCTGCATGCCAACTGCTTCCTCTTTTTGTCACTTAGCCTGACAGCTCTGCAAACCCTCCAGTGAAGATTCACATGGAGACCACAAAGCCCCACTCAAAGTCAGACCTTTCCCAAAATAACTCTCCCACCCAAAGCCTATCCTCAGATTGTGAGTACACTAATCATTTCTATTACCTATGTGTCAGCATAATTTATGTTGTAAATATTCAGTGTTATTAACTAACACAGATGAGGTGCAAACAGCATTCGATCTTGTTTGTGACATTGGATCTTTTGTAGATTTCACTTTGACTGTTGAAGTAATGCACAGTATCTGCCAGTTTTCAGTGAATGTACTTAATAATTTCTCGTGTTTCTGTGTTTGTATTTATGTTATGTGTTTACATGCCTGTGTATGCTTGTTTGGTGTTGTTTTGTGCATATGTTCTCTGTCCATATGTGTGCATGTGGCTTCTTACAGGAGACGAACCCTTACTCAACAGTCACATCTGATCAAAATGAGCTAGACCACAGGTACTGTGTGCTGAAATTGCACGTGCCCTACAGTGATCTGATATATTCACCTGACAGGAACATTGGGGACAAAACTGTTATTTCCAGACCACAAAACACAGTTATAAATAAGAAACACACATTTCATTGAATTATCAGCTTCTGTATTGTATTTCTATCCCTAGTATGTAGGGTGATGATTTAGATGATCATAGACTTAGACATTTTTATTTGTAGAGCTTATGTTTGAAAGCTTGTGATGTCTCTGTATTGGAAAGATATAGAGTATACAGACAATGGAGTATATAGATAATGGAGATGTAATCCAGTGCACTTTCATAGAAACTGTATAGTGCAGTGTATGAAACTGTTATTTTAATTGTTATTATTATTATTTTTATTTCTATGTAGATCTGTATGTTTGGTATTTGACAGCTATCTCCATTACTGTAAGTTTGTCATTTTGTTAACAGCAAGAAGTTATAAGCAAAACGTGTGTTGTCAACTGTGACATTTTGATACCAATAGGAGTGAAATCGGAGCCATTGGTACTATGTGACAATTGTTTTATAGCTTTGTTCTGATTCCTGCTATAAATACTGTTCGTAACTTTGTGACTGCAAAAATTATTATTATTTTTTATTTTACTATTTTCATTGAATTTTAGCCCAGTTTTCCCAAAGTTGTATAACACTTAAAAGAAATCAGTCTTCAAAAACAAAATAAGTTAAAGTTACTTGTTGTACAATGGTGCATTGAAATTATTTTAAACTCTTCAAAACTAATTAAGACCAGAAGATGAAGAAATGACCATTATGACTTTATTCCCCCCCCCAAAAAAATCTATCTACTGTAATGTGAAAAATCTCGAGCCACCCCTCATTTCTTTACATTTTGTTAGAAAACTGGGAAAGGGGTGCAGTGCTTTATTCAAACATGTGCAAACATGAATGGAAATTAAAGCCACCGAGGCAGCTTTCAGTTATTTAGTTAAGTGTCATAGAGAAAACTTCTAAAGGCATCTTGAAGGACATTCAAAGGTCTTCTTTGGACCTTTCTGCCTTTTGTTCTATTCTCAAGACTATCCCACGCTGCTTCAATCATGTTACACAGATTTTATGCCAGATACACCTTCTGGTACAATCCTGCCATTTATCGGGGATTGTGACCCCCAGAGACTGTGTCTCTTTCTAAAATCACTCCAAGGATCCTGTAAGGCCACAAAAACTATTTCAAGATACCATGTAGTAAACTGATAATCCTTGGTGGTGAGATTTCTTCTTTAATCCTGCAAACCATAGCTATAAAAATTCAATTTAGTATGTTTTAATCTGAATCCGTAAATACCCCAAA